ATATTTTGCGATTTTTTTTAATATTTTTATTAGGTGCGCCTTGATGAGAATAACGAACACTTAAAATTTCAAGTGAATTTGATTTGTAGAAAAAAAAATGAAATTTTAAATACGAAATGAGGTCATAACCCTCAAATCAGCTCTGATTCAATCTGGGCCGTTGGCTGACACTGTAGCAATGGGCTGACAAGATCCTATCCCATATTATATATAGATATATATATGCCAAATTACGTTGGCAAGTAAGTATGAATGTTTCGGGCACATGGACACAAGATTAACTGAATAACGACTGCAGACATCAGTTATGCCACACTAGAGTCTTCCACAGGCTCTAACTTCATGTATATAGTCAACTGTTTACCTTATCCGAAGTCTTAACTCTTACCATCTTCCATTAAACAAAGATCAGCACAAAAAACCAAACTGGTTTATCTCTATGCCAGATCAACTGAAACTGAGATTCAGATACTGACCTCTAAATGCAAAGATTTCTTGAGCAAGCTTCTTCATCATTACAGGAATTTCAAGCTCATTTTCACATTGCGTAATAAATGCTGATTCCTTGGCTAAAGAGAAGAGTTCTTAATGAGGTGTTGTTTATTACGAGATCTCCCACTATCTCAATAAGTATCCTACAGGCAGGGAGTGCTGCTTTCAGTAATAACCATCTACACCAGTATCTCCCACAATTGTAGTAGTGTGTTGCCAACCACGACAAAAATTTCATTTATTTTCCACCAAATTTCCTATTAAAAATTTAGTTTAAGCTACATTCAGTTTGGATGACCATGACCAAATCACATAAATCGTTGTGTTTTTTTACTCTTTTTTTGAAGGTTCCTTATGTTGTTAATCTTCATTGGTAATAATGTTACAAGCCTAGCTTTCGCAAAAAAAAAAAATGTTACAAGCCTCTATCCACGAGATAAAGTTACATCATGCCAATAGACAGAAGTCATAAACAGATGAAAACTTAGAAAACAATGAGGTCATCTATAGCAGAATAGCATATACCAGCCATGTCGTGTATGTCAATGAAATTGTGTTAGGTGAATGTAATCTCAGCAAAACAGACCTTACAAACAGATTCATATGATCAATCGTGAGATTAGCACCTGACTCACACCAAAAAAAATGACAATAAAATAGAAGGAAAAATATCGAGAGATCTGTCCAAACAACCCTTTGTATCTTCTGGGAATTCTGAAGAGCCACATACCATACATCATGGAAGACACTCAATGCTTTGAATCTGGAATGGTTATCCTTTGTTTCTTTTTTTCCGTCCTTGTATTTTAGCAGGATATTTGTTAGGACTCTTCAATTACAAATTTGACTGTAATCCAACAGTAAATTTAAAGACCAAGAAAATTTGGATTTCAAAAGGGAATGAATCTCGTTTCTACTAAATCTAAACAGGGGAACAAGAATGTCATTTTTAATAACAAGCTAGTTATTTTGTATAAAATGTAATATTATCAAAGTCCACTCTGTGTGACACATATAAACATAATCTACTTTCTAATGGACATAACAACAGAAAAATTGATGCCATTGACAATACAATTTACAAGGATAAAAATTCACCAGGATAGCAACAAAACAATAACAAGATAATGAGATAATTTTTATATACTAAGGATTGAAATGCACGATGATTTTACCAACCGGATGAAATTCATTTTCAACTAACTACTCTAGAAATAACTAATGCCAATAAACCTTACTCTTTAAGCAAAAACAAGATTAAGCTTAGAAATGCCACCAAATATCTGAGACTCCACTCTTAAGAGTACCCAAATAAAGTATTCAATCAATACAAAGTCAGGAAACAGAAAAAGAAGATACCCTACACTTTCTTTTATTGGTAAAAAAAATCCTCTACATGTTTCCTTAAAAAGCAACAAGAAAAATATATTACGATTGGTATGGTGTGAGTAATGATTATGACCTTGTATTTTATCACCGTCCAATTAATTGGTTCGATCATGATCGCGAGAAATCAGGAGCATACATTTATTATATATATTGTATGATGGGCCAACTCCCCTCCATCACTGTCCAACCCATTGATGGGATGGTGATAACATCATGGTCATGGTGTTATGATGACCATATGAATCATACATAATTACCTTTGAGCACTGAGCTACCACATTATGCACCATAAAAAATTTAAATACAGCACTAGTTACCTTTTCACAGGTAATAAAAATACTCACAATTAGTATATGTTATACAATTAGAAATGATATAGAATAAATAATGATTCTAGGAAACAGGGAAAAATGCCAAAAGACCCAAGTTTTCTTGGTCGATGAATTTACATGAAAAGAAAATCACTATAAAACATTCACAAACATCTTGTGCACGAAATTAATTACTATATTTCCCTGTGTACACAGTTTGCACACCGCCGTGTAGTTATTGGTCCAAAACAAATTATGGGTATATTACGTTTCTTTTATTTTATGAAGGGGGTGGTTTTTTTGACCAAGGATTGGATAAAATACCATAGCCACCATCTATTATGCATCAATAAATCATAGAAGGAAAAAAAGAATAAAACGAGTTTAAAACAAAAGGATAACAATGCAGCAATGGAATGAAAAAATCCCAAACAATAACCATAAATGATAGACAGAACAACAGAAAAACCCAATAAAGCTAAATTAATTCTATTTACCTTCTCAAAATCATTAAGCAAAGCTACCATCTTTCAAATATAAAACCAGAGTTTTAAAAAAAAAGATGGAAAAAAGCAAAAACCAGAGACCACATTACATTTAGATTGGGCACACATCCCAGATTAAGCTTTTTATCCCCTCAAATATATAAAAAAATAAAACCGATTAAATTCAAGGACAATTTATCAGAGAACAGAAGAAAAACATAAAATAACATATAAAAGTACAAAAAACTGGTACAAAAAATTAGCAGCCCCAAATCACTAAATCACACACTACAATGACCTTTTGGTATCAACACATGATCATAAACTAAATATCAATAAAAAAAATACAAAGAATGAAAAATAACAACAAAAAATGCAGGTAACAAAAATTCCCTAAGGAAACGGGGGGTCGAGAAAATACCAGAAAAACAAATGGGTCTGCCGCAAATTGCTGGAGGTGCCTATACGGAAAGGGCCATGGCGAAAAATGCAGAGAACAAGGAAAACAAGGTCCAAAATTGAAGTTTTAGAAAAAGAAAAGCTTGGTTAGAAAGTAAAAAAAATGCCCAATGATGGCACGAAAGTTGTAGGGCACAGCATATAAAGCGGTCAAAACGCGGATGAGATGCACCGGCATTTAAAGCGCTGAGAGGGGTTGCTTGGGTTGTCTTCACACACGCTTGAGCGTTTTAGTACTTGTGCAAGTGAGATCTTAGGAGAGAGAAAGTGTTTTAGAGAGAGAGAGGGAGCGTATGTTCGTGCTGTTTTCTCCACCATTTCTTGTAGACAGAGAAAGTGGATAGCAAGTGGGCGTGTGTTTTGGAGAGAGAAAGTGTTTTAGAGAGAGGGAGGGTCTGTTCGTGTTGTTTTCTCCTCCATTTCTTGTAGACAGAGAGAAAGTGGATATCAAGTGGGTGTGTGGTTTGGAGAGAGAAAGTGTTTAAGAGAAAGAAATTGGGTGTGTTGTTTTCTTCTCAGTTTGATTTAGAGAGAGAGTGAGTGAGTGGGTGTGTCTGTAAAGTAGGAGCGTGTTGTTTTCTTCTCAATTTTACTTTAGAGAGAGAATGTGGTTGTTTCCTTCTCAATTTTACAAAATATTTTGAAAGAGCGGAATGTATAACTTATGATGGATAATACTCTCTCTGTCGTGTTTCTCTCTCATTAAAATTGAGTCTTTTTTTTCTCTCTCATCAAAACCTGACCATTGTAGAATAGTGGGGAGGTGGGCCATTGCCTTGGTCATCCTCCCATGGGAAGAAAGGACCGCCGACACCTTTAGAGTAATTCGGGTTTATACAAAGTCTTATTTGTAGGGATAAGATCCAAGTTCCATACTATGCATTTTAGTTGGCAGTTATAAATTTGTTGTATTTTTAATGATAAGAAAATATATATAATGGGACTATTTACTTTTGATACAAAAAAAAGTCCCAATCGTTATTATCGTAAAATTGAGTTGGTAAAGATGTATAATTGATTAGGTACAAAGTTCAAATACAATTTCTCAAATGTTGTGTCTATTAGATTTCACATTGAATGCTAAACATGATTGTAACTTTCTGATATTAAAAAATATAAAAAAAATTATACAGGGATGCAAACTTATAATGTAAAACTACGGATGCACCTCAAAAATCCATCGGAAAATGTAGTTTTAATGTTGAAAAACCATTTGATTGGTCATCTCGACATCAAGATGTATGACTATGAAAAATAAAAAAAATTTAAGTCTCATAAATAGTACATTTTACAACATATTATCTACATCGTCTACTTTCAAGTTTTCATATATTTATAGATCTACTTGATTTTAACCATTTTTTAAATTTAAAATTTTATAATTAGATATAAAAATGGATTGTGAGATAATCCTAAGAACATTTTACATCAAAATTATATATCATCGTAAAATTTGAAGGTGTACCTTACCTCTACAGCTACGGATGCATCCATATGCCAACTGCACCCTAAAAGTAAACGGTCGTATAGTATACAATCCCTTAAATAATATAAAAAATTGATAGATTTTTTAGATAGTAGTAAATATATAGGTAAATTATCACAAATATATCTTAATTTTTGACAATTAAAATAATAATAATAATAATAATAACTTCAACTTTTATGAACATCGTCGACTCCCTTTTTCCTCAGTTTTGGCATTTAAAATACTTCAAGTTATCACGGCATTTAAAATTCCGTATAAAATGGGGTAGGTATTATGGTACTTAAAGTATCGTAATGCTAGGGCTTCACAATAATATGACTATGTGATGGCTATTTTGATAAAAAAGTTTGTCAAAAAAAGGGTGTGGATAAGGTTTATGAAAGTTTAAGGTTTTTTTTCAATTAAGCAAAAAATAAAAGTATATTTTCGATAATTTTTCAAATAGATATTGTTTAATTAAAGGGTTGCATATAATGAGATTATTTACAAGGATGTCACATTCATCATTTACCGTTTGTTTCGAAATCAGGTGATTCGGGATGTATCATTGATTGAATACAAACACACTGACATTTATTGTATTTCACATCTAATAGCTAAAAAATAATTGTGATCTCTTTGCACAAAAAATAAATAGTCTCATAGTATTCAATCCTTACTTAAAATAGACGTTATGGATTACTCCATTGATATTTCTATAAATAAAGTTACAGCTTTATATAAAGTTTTACCTTTTAGAAAAAATAATAGTAAAATAAACTTTAATTAAAAGTAGCCAACCAAATTAGAAATAAAGTGGCTATTTTAATTAAGAAAAAAGTTTACAGTGCACCTTAAAAAATTCTACTTTGATGTCAGAAAACTATTTAATTGATCATCTTGAAATCAATATGTATGGATACATAAAAGAAAAAGATATTGAGTTCCAAAAAGTAATACATCTTGCAACACATTATCTAGGCCGTTCACTTTCAAGATTTTCATAATTTTATAGATGTGTTTGATTTGAACCATTTTTAGAGTTTAAAACTTTATGATTAGATATAAAAATAAGTTATTTTGCTAGTCTAAGACTCTTCATTACTAAAATTGTAGCTTATTACAAAGTTTAGAGGTGCGCCTTACAATAATTGTTTAATGTTATATACTATGAGGCTATTTATCTTTGTTACAAAGGGGTCTCACTTACTCTTAGCCACTATATGTCAAATTGGATGCTTGGGGCGTGTTATAAAATTCAAAAAATATCTATTTGAAGTTTGAGTCTAATCAATGACACTCACAATTACCCGATTTGAAATTGGACAAACGTTAATGATTCTGACCTCCCTATAGCAAAAGGAAAGAGTTTTTTTGTACACTTCTCAGTAAGGAAATAGTTTATGTAAGGTTGCAACCTTAAAATGTAGAATTAAGGTGCATCTCAAAAATCTATTATAAAATATTGTTTTGGTGTTGGAAATAAAATGTAGAATTAAGGTGCATCTCAAAAATCCATTATAAAATGTTGTTTTGGTGTTGAAAAACCCTTTAATTGATCATTTCGACATTGAGATTTATGAACATGAAAAGAAAAAAAGATTTTCAGTGTTTAAAAAAAGAAACCATTTAATTGATCATCTGGACCATCCATTTTAATATTTTCAAATGTTTATAGATCTACTCAATTTAGACCATTTTTTGGGTTCAAGATATTATAATTAAAGTTAAAAATAGATTATCACGCCACATGAATAAAAATATACCAAAATTATATTTTTATGACAAAATTTATCGGTGCGCCTTAATTTGATTGTTTAAGATTGCAACCGTATACAAACCACCCTCTTTCATTAATTAAATTATTTTACATAAATACCACATCAACCACTTTCTTAAAAATGTCCAAGATGTCCTCCAGACAATAAATCTGACCCAGCAAAGATATCTTTTGATACGTTTACAATAAAACTAGGATTGGAATTGTTAAAATTGCTCTTGCTTATTCCATAAAAAAATGTACGTCCAAATATGGAATAATATAAGTTAATTATGAATTTCATGTTTATTAAATTAAAAAGATTTTAATGAAACTAGTAAGATTACATGCGTTGTACGTAAATATAAAATACGGTATGATTAAAATGCCAAACTCATATAATTAATAAAAGGGAAATATTATATTATCCCCTATTTTTAACTTATATATCTCATCACACTCAAGAATTGAAAATATTACTTGCAAGCAAAATGACTCCATCTTTTCTATCTTCCAACCGCCTAAATCCTTTTGACCATGTATTATTGACCTCAACAACTTATGAAATGACTCTATATATCTCTCTCTCTAAAACTCCATCTCTCTCTAAAACCCAAACTCCATTAGGTACATATGTAACATAGGATCCCAATACATATTTGGTACATATGTAGCATGGGATCCCAATATATATCAAGAAAGATTGAGAATGTCTAAAACATGTATGACTACATATTTGCATACTTAAATCTAGACTTAAAACACTTTTTTTTTTAATGTACACATTTAAGTGAGTAGGACGAGTCAGGTGAAAGGTGTGTCTTAGATTCCACGATGATTAATCAGAAAAGAAGGCTGAGGAAGAGAGAGAAAAATCAACATCTCTTTCCATTTTATATGCAATAACATTCGTTACCTAAAGATAATAGCTTAGCTTGCTTTGCTTATTTATTTTATATAATTGTTGTATATATTTTTACATTTTTGTAAATATAGAAACTCACTTGCTTCAATCCATAACTAAGACATCCCATGCAATGCAAAGTAGAGTAGATGATCACACTAAAACTAATGAATCATGAGATATGGAGAAAACACTAGTAATTAAATTGTCACAAATATTGATACCAAAGAAAAACCAAACAACACGTACCTAATTAAAAGTAAGGAAGACTAATAACTAAATTGTCACAAGTATTGATATTAAGGAAAAAGTAAAAGGCACATACCAGATTGAGAGTAAGGAAGACTAATAACTAAATTGTCACAAATATTGATACTAAAGAAAAAGTAGAAGACATGTACCTGATTGAGAGTGAGGAAGACGTATGCAACAAAGAGAGAGGGAGAAAATAAAAGATAGGTAGAAGCTAATATAGTTTATATGAACAAATGGCTTAGTTGTATCCCCTTTAGGCTTTTCTGACTTCTATAACATCAAAACCCTAATTAATATGAGAGAGATATGGATAGAGGGAAGGCGTGCATGCATTGAGTGAAGTTGTCATGCTCTTGGATGGGGAATCCTCTTGGATATGGAAACAATCTTAATATATATCTTTTTCTCTTGAATTCGAGAACCCATTTTGGGAAGTTTGAAACACAAAATAGGGAAAAGAAATCTCATATTTCTCAAAGATATGGAAATAATCTTTCTCTCTCCCTAAAATCTCTACTCTTCACGCAAACAATATATTTGTCAATCCCTT